TCCATCAGTCCGTCCATCTGTCTGTCTGTCTGTCTGTCTGTCTGTCTGTCTGTCTGTCTATCTATCTATCTATGTATCTATCATCTATCTGTTATATCAGTTTGCTCAGTCAGTTGTTTCTGTCTGTTTGTTCTGTATCTGTTCTGTCCATCACTCCATTTATTAAGGCACCTATAGGCATATTCTTGAAAAGTTTTGTTCTTACTAAAAGCTGTAAAAGAAATGAAAATGAAAATGAAAGAGAAAGAAAACCCAAAAACGACACTACAGCTGCGGAAACACTGACCGTTCACAATTCCATTAATAAATTCTGTCAGTCAGTTATTCAGCACCAAATGAAAGTTTGAAGAAATTAGAATTTTGAAGAATGTTGCAATGGCTTCCATAGTGTATAGTCATTTCACTTGTGCAAGAAATTACGAGAAGCATCCTCAAATGTAAGACAAGTGCAGCACAGATAAGACACTAGAAGTGATGTCAGGGAAATAGCTGAAATAGTTGAACAGGATTACACAGTAATCAGACATCATTCAGAAGCCTGCTTAACAAAAAGTAACAATATACAGAATGCTTGAAAAAGGATCAAATTTTTTGGCTGAAACAAATATGGATTTTATATATTATATTTACATGTTTTAAAGAAATATTTGTTTAGTATATCTTCATTGCTGATGTTGCAGAATCTGCAAATTTCAAGGCTGAAATATATTAAAGGACTATATATTAATTAGATGCTCAATAACAGGCATTTATTTGAAAAATATATTTTTACACTTTATAAATTTCTTCTGGGACTACTGAGATGATGATGAGTAAATAAAATGTATAATTTAACAATTTAATAAATACCTTATGTAATAAATGAGTATACACTTTATAGCTTTAAACAGGTTTTTGACTGATTCCTAATTTAATTTCCTACATTTGTGTTTTTCTTATGACCCAACAAATGGGTTAAATAGCATAATTAGATTTAATGGAAAATGATTTGCCCAAGGTTGAGTTTGTCCACATCTGACCCAACTTGCATTTTTTGTGCTTATTTTCTAGTCGTTACTGATAGTAATTATAATTTCATTGGTATACTTATTAGTGTTTTTATTTCATTTATTTTTCTGAGTCCTGTTTAGGCTATTTTCGTTTACAAAAAAAAATAAAAAATTGTGTGATTATACTTAAATTTACAAAAATTTGTACACAAATTTAGTAGCTCAAGTTAGTTACTGTAGTACTATGAACACTTTCTCTGTAGCAAGGTTGGTAAAGTTGTCACCCTGAGGCTCTCTCAGTTTTGCGAACCATACACTTCCATCTAGTGGTTACTAATAGCAATTACACTTATTTAAAGCTTTCTGAATGTTACTGTAACTGTCTAATTTCCCTTATTATTCAGTGTTAGGTTTAAACTGTTTTTTTTTTTTTTCATTCATTAACAGCATTTTCATATGTCATCTAATTTGGATTCATATTTTCTCTGCAATAAGTTTGATAGTATGTCAAATTAATTATAGATATTAAATAGCAAACCTTTTAAATATATATTTTTTATGTTTTTTTACTTATTAACTTTTCAGAACAATGTTAAAGAGTTAAAAAGTTTGTGAAAAATATGTGTAACAAACTTTAGTTAACATCAACAAACAAAGAGCAATACTTTTACAACATTTACAGGTAAAGCAGAAGTATTTTTTCATTGTTTACTCAAACTAATAGTTAAAGGAATAGTTTGTCCATAAATGTAAATTCTGTCATCATTAACTCATCCAGTTTAGAATTTGAAATTGTTGAACACAAAGGAAGAATGTTGGAAACCTGTAACTATTCACTTCTATATTTGTATTTTCTAGAAGTCAATGGTTACAGGTTTTCAGCATTTTTCAAAATATCTTCATTTGTGTTCAACAGAACAGAAAAAAACAACTACTCTGTCTGGTTTGGAACAACGAGTGAGTTAATTATAGCATATTATTTTAAACAGTAAAACACAATACCCTTCACTCAAAAAAACAAAACAAAAAAAAAAAAACGATTTTTGTTGGTTGTTCAAGGCACTTATTTGAAATTAGCTGATTCAGCACAAATATTGTGTTTATGGGGACAACCTTGTTTAATTTTCAATCCACTTAATTATGTTTAATTATGTTACCTTAATCAATTTTGTGTTCGGATACTTTTAAAAAAATGCGTGGAACTTAATGTAATATCTACTTAATATAATTGAGGCAACAGATTACCAGCAATATTCATACATCCATTTTGTTTTGGCTTAGTCACTTTTTTAATCTGGCCAATTTATCCAGCACAACAAACATCCACACGCTCATTCACACACATACACTACAGACAATTTAACTTACCCAATTCACCTATACAGCATGTTTTTGGACTTGTAGGGGAAACCGGTGCACCCAGAGGGAAACCCACTTGATCATAGGGAGAAAATACAAACTCTGCACAGAAATGCCGACTGATCCAGCCGGGGTTCAAACCAGCAGCCTTTTTGCTGTGAGGCAATTGTGCTCACTGCGCCACCGTGACGCCCTACAAGCAACATTATCAATTAAATTAATCAAGTATGGATTGAGTTTGAATTTATTAAATTAGCTTACTTAAAATGCAATTCAGTTAGCTCGTTTAAAAATAACAGCCAACAGTCTTTAAAATATTAAGTACATTTTAAGCATTGTGATAATTGTTAAAAAAACAAAACAATGTTAATGAAAACTATTTTTAATAATGTTTTTATTTTGATTTAACAAATTTAAATAAAAATATTCTCTGTTTAAACTATTTGTTTAAAACAAGCTAAAACAACACAATTCTTGAGTTTTTTTAGACAACTTAATTGTTTTATATTCAATCCACTTAAATTTGTAAAATCTAATGAGTCAACTTAATTCCTTTATGTTGTCCCAAAATAAATCGATTGTGTGGAACCCAGCATTTTTTTACTCAGTGAATTTGAAACACAAGATTACAAGCAATATTTTTGTATTAAATTCAGCAAGTACGAATTGAGTTAGAATGAATTAAATTTGCTCGAATTTGCGCCATCTGTTCAGCAGCATGGAGCCACAAAAAGTAGTCTATAACAATCTGATAAAAGTGTTGCATGCAGAACTGTTGCATACAATTTATTTGTGTTGAATTTAAACAAACAAATTAAATGTAATAATGTTCAACTTAATTTGTTTGTTTAAATTCAGCCCAAATAAATGGTTTACAACCACTTAACGTAAAAAAAAAATGAGTAAATCCAAGGAATAATCTTTGAATAATTTTTTCAGTGGCAATACATCATCATATAATACACATTAAATAGTGTACATTCAAACAAATGGACTTTGATCATCTTCTTGAAATAGTGTGAATTCAAACAATTAACCTTTGTAAAAAAAAGTTTTTAAAAGCTCAAATCATAAACTTACAAAAGGAAATGTTTGTGATTGAATTTTGTTATTAATTTGTTATTCATTGAACCAACATTGTAAATGCTGGGTTACACACAATTCCTTCTTGTTGTCCCAACACACAGTTATTGTTTTTACAAATTTAGGTGTATTGAAAAAGCAACAATTAAGTTGTCCCCAAAAAAACTGAAGAATTATGTTGATAGAACTTATTTTGAATAAGTAGTTTGAAAGAGCAGCAAAAAAAGCAAAGTGGTGTACAGCTGTTCCTGGGAATACTGCCATTGCATGTGCGAACATTTACCCCCACTAATATTTTTATATATTTTTCGGCTTAGTCCCTTTATTAATCAGTGGTCGCCACAGCAGAATGAACCGCCAACTTATCCAGCATATGTTTTACTGGTTGATGTCCTTCCATCCGCAACTCAACAATGGGAAACAAACTAATATTTAAAATAACTAATATCAGATATATACAGTTAAAGTCAGAATTATTAGCCCCCCCCCGCCCACCCCCCCCCCCCCTAATTTTTTCCCAAGTTTAATGGAGAGATTTTATTTCTACACATTTCTAAACATAATAGTTTTAATAACTCATTTCTAATAACTGACTTATTTTTATCTTTTCCATGATGATAAATAATATTACACAAGATGTTTTTCAAGACACTTCTATACAGCTCAAAAAGACATTTAAAGGCTTAACTAGGTTAATTAGGTTAACTAGGCATTTTAGGGTAATAAGGCAAGTTATTGTATAGGGTGGGCCATTTATATGGGAACACCTTAATAAAACTTATCGGGAATTTCACAAGAAAAACAATGGTGTGCTTGGTTTTATCATAACTTTATTCTTTCATGAGTTATTTACAAGCCCCCCCCACATATACTAATGTGCCACAAACAGGATGTTAATATCACCAACCATTCCCATTTTATTAAGGTCTATCCATATAAATGGCCCACCCTGTATAATGATGTTCTGTGGACTATCGATAAAACAGTATAGCTTAAAGGGGCTAATAATTTTGTCCTTTAAATGGTGTTAAAAAAATTAAAATTACTTTTATTCTAGCCGAAATAAAACAAATAAGACTTTCACCAGAAGAAAAAAACATTACTTGACATACTGTGAACATTTCCTTGCTCTGTTAACTTTATTTGGGTAATAATTAAATAAGAAAAAAAAAGAATCAAAGGGGGGCTAATAATTTTGACTTCATCTGTATATAATATAACACATATCAAATATACATCTAATATCCAGTATCCATAGGCTGTCACTTGTAAAAAAAAAAAAAAAACAGCTTCTATTGTCACAGTTAAAATGCATATAATTATTCTCTAACTAATTTTACCAAAGAAATCTATGAAGTGCTACCACTTATTCTTAAGAGATTCAGATGAAAGGGTGAATCTGGAGAGATTAGCCTGAGATTGAAGTTTATCTTCATAGAAGAAGCCCAAGCGCACTGGAGTTGAGGAGGTGTGGTTTGATGTGGTGGTGCTGGGCTGGGCAGTGGGTGTGGGTTTGGCTTAAAGTAGGGCTGGACTTCACAGACTCAAGCTCCTCCTCTCACCAATGAAATCTTCCCTTTCAACTTCATACAACATGACACGCACACACAGGCACACAAAAACAGAGCAGACAAAATCAGGATATGACATCACACACAGGAAGAGAAGCCAAGTAACTTTTCAGCTTGTTTTTTTACTGTATGGGTTTTATAGAGTTGATGAGTAGGAGAGAGAAAGGATTCTCACGAGGCAGTTTGGATTTGTTTTTGTTTTTGTTTTCTTCCCCTCTTGGAGAGCACAGGAATTATTCTCAGGTTTCCCACAACATTCCAGGAGTCTACAGTGGGACTAAAGCCAGGCACTTTAGGTAGGGACCACCAATATACTTTGATACGTTTATAGCATCTGTTTGGACTGATTTTATTCTACTTTTGTTCTTTAAATGTGTGTTGATGCAGTAAGGTCAGAGCTCATGTGTCATGGGGTCTCAGGAAGAAAGTGTGATCAGACACGTCAATGTTTGGGGGACGGACAAATAACTCCTCTGTTCTTTGATTTCACACATGTTGAATGAACCGAGTTAAAGTTAACCTCTACAACTTTCTGATTTATGTTTAAATATAGTATTTAGTTATGTTGAAGTAGGAGATAAGTGATTCTTATTTTGCATGGGTATATATGGGCAAACAAAATACATTGTATGGATTAAAAATATATAGAGATTTTCTTTTATGCCAAAAAATCTTTAGCCCTAAAAAAAAGAAAAAAAGTTTGGATTGCATTTCATAACTCCTAAAAAAATCCTTAATTTTAAGGTTAATTTCCGGTAGCTGGGGTGCCGGGAAAAAAAACGTAAAATAACGGCTGTTAAATTACAGAAATTTAAAATAAAATTACGGACATTAAATTACAGAAATTTACCATAAAATTACAGATGTTAAATTACAGAAATTTACCATAAAATTAACGATATTAAATTACAGAAATTTAACAGAAATTTGCAGATTTTAAATTACAGAAATTTACCATAAATTTATGTATATTAAATTACAGAAATTTAAATTTAAGAAAATTTCTGTAATTTAATATCTGTTATTTTACGGTATATTTCTGTAATTCAACAGCCGTTATTTTACTTATAGGGTGCCGGAAATAAATCGTAAAATTACGGATTTTTTTCACAGTGCAGATAACACTCAATGCATTTTTTTTTTCAACACATCATATAATTTCTAAAATATCAGCTTCTAGCAAACGGTCAGTTTACAAGTAAAAGTACCTAATACATCTACTATGAAAAATCTGAAAATATGAAGTATGAGACCAATTTATTTGAAAAAAGATTCAAAATAAAACATTTTTGAATACTAAAATCACCTTTTTTAAGTATGCCGTAAAATATTTCAGATTCTCATTTAACATGCTTTCTTCTTCTTATTTTTTTTTACGATAAAACCAAAATCAAGTGTAGTAATGCAACAGGATGTTTGTTTGATTTATTTTTTAGTAAACCAACAATGCTGTGTGTGTAAGCCATTATTTAAAACATTCATTCTTTAAATTACTTTAACAGTCATTTAAAACAGTAAAAACATAGTCAACCATTTAATAGAGGGGCAGTCAAAGGGTTAGAATATTAAGTAAAGATCCTGTCCCATGAAGATGTTTTGTTCAATTCCTACTGTAAATATATCAATACGTACACTGTAAAAAAATATTTGTTTTCATATGTGTGATTCACAAGCGTTTTCTGTTTATTAATGGTTGTGAATTGCATTATTGGGTGTTGATCTCTGCTCTGTCAACTTTTGATGTCGAAAATTCAACTCTACAGTTTAACAATGTAACTTTTATTGACAATTTAGTAGTTTTAAATCATTTAATGTTAGAAATAATATATAAAGAAATAAGATTGTAAAAAAGAAAATGTACTGGCTGTTTATTACAAGGTTTTTGTACCATAAACAACCCTGACAATATATCACTTGAAACTATTAAAAATGTTCATAAAAGTTGCTTTTTCAAACTTTTCAAGGTTAAAAGTTATTGGAAAAAAAGAGCAAAGTTCCATAATGCAATTCAAAAGCATAAATAAACAGTCAAATAAAAATATAAAACATAAATCACTAAATACTGAAAATAGCTAATTTACAGATAGTGTTTACAGTATAGTTTTTGAACAGTAATGGAAATTCTTAGGCATGTAATTTGGACAACTGTAAAGGTGAATTTCTCAATATTTCTATTTTTTAGAACAGAATTTTCAAATAGTTTTATCTTGACCAAATGTTATCACGTATTAACAAAATGTACATCAATGCAAGGCTTATTTATTCAGCTTTCAGATTATGTAAAAATATACTAAACATAAAAACAAATATGGCTGATTGTCTGGTCCAGGGTCATATATGTAAAACTTTAATTGGAAAGCGAAGTGAATATATATATATATATATATATATATATATACTGTATGTGTGTGTGTGTGTGTTTATATATATATATATATATATACTGTATGTGTGTGTGTGTGTGTGTTTATATATATATATATATATATATATATATATACAGTTGAAGTCAGAATTATTAGGCCCCCAAAATTATTACCACCCCTGTTTATATTTTTCACCAATTTCTGTTTAATGGAGGGAAGATTGTTTTAGCATATTTCTAAGCATAATAGTTTTAAAAACTTATAATAACTGATTTATTTTATCTTTGTCATGATGACAGTAAATAATATTTTACTTGATATTTTTTAAGACACTTCTATACAGCTTAAAGTGACATTTAAAGGCTTAGGTTAATAAGGTGAACTAGGCAGGTTAGGGTAATTAGGCAAGTTATTGTATAATGATGGTTTGTTCTGTAGATTATCGAAAAAAAAAATTGCTTAAAAAGGCTCATAATTTTGTCCCAAAAATGTTTTTTAAAAAATGAATAACTGCTTTTATTCTAGCTGAAATAAAACAAATAAATAACAAATGCTCTGTTAAAAATCATTTGGGAAATATAAAAAAATAATAATAATAAAATCAAAAGGGGGCTAATAATTCTGACTTCAACTGTATTTATATGTATATATATATAAAATATAATATAAATATACTGTAATAAACAATGTAAGTGAATCTTAATTGCATTAATTCTTTCTTTCATTTTTTTCTTCTTTCTTTCGTCAAAAAGAAATACATTTTTTTGAAATACATTTTTTAGCCAAAGAATAGGGGTCTTATCTACTGAAACAATTAGTCATTTTCTTTTAAAAAAATTTATACAAATAAATTAAAAATATATACTTTGTGATCACAAAAGCTTGCATTCTAGTGCCAGAAGTGCTTTTGTGGTTAAAATAATACTTAATAAAATAAAAAGTATAATAAAATAAAATAAAAAAATATAATAAATGGAAAAAAATCCTACAAATATATAACTTAAAGGGACAGTTCATCCAAAAATAAAAATGTACAGAATTTTCAGTTTTTCTAAGTAAACTATCCCTTTAATTTCTTTCTGAAAAAAAAGAAGAAATTAACTCTTGGATAGCAAGGGGTGAGTATAAATGATCTGAAAATGTTAATTTTGAAAGTGTTAAAAAAAAAAGGTGAACTAGGCAGGTTAGGGTAATTAAAAGGTAAAAAAAAAAGATTTAAGAGAAAAATTATTGCTTTTTGTTATAATTTATCTTAATATTTCCAAAGAGGTCAGTGAAATCTGTGAATTTATTATGTGGTTTGGGTCAGTAAGCAGCGATTCTGTGAGTACATTTATGGAAGGAGAGAGAAACTGAGAGAGGAAAGAAAAACAAAACTTATCAGAGACTAGGAAAGGATGGACTCAGACACTGATACACTGCCAGGATGGTAAATGAAAACAGAGGAAGAGTTTGAGTTTTACAGCTGAAGAGACGCTCTGAAATCCCCCTCAAAAATGTTATCTCATTCTGGCCACTTCAAACAATCACAGGAAGTTATGAAAATGGTGATGCAGATTAAACAACACAATGAGAAAGCAAATGCATGAATATGAAATGAATTTGTTGTGTTTGCTTGTGGTGGTCTGTTTATAGAGTTTATGAGCAAAAGTTTACAGTTTTGTAAAAAAAAAAAAAGAAAAAATGCAATGAACGTGTCAGATGTCGCAGTAAAGGCTTATGTTATAAAAAAAATAGAAATAAATGATGCTCTTTTTAACTTTGTTAATCAAAGCATTCTGAAAAAGCTGCAGAAAATCATTCATATTTTTTGAACATTAAGTCAGCAAATAAGAAGTGTTTTGAAGGATTACTGGAGTACGAATGATTGCTGAAAATTCAGCTTTGTCAGCAAAGGAATAAATTTTGTTTTAAAACTTATAAAATATAAAACATGCATTCATTCATTTTCCTTTAACTTAGTCCTCTATTTATAAGGGGTTGTCACTGTAGAATGAACCGCCAACTATTCCAGCATATGTTTTATGCAGTGGATCCCCAGTGGACTGCCGCAAACCAGTACTGGGAAACAAACACTGTCACATTCACACACACATTTATACACTACTGCCGATTTATATCATGTTTCAATGTCTTTGGACTGTGGGGGAAACCGGAGCACCTGGAGGAAACCCACCCGAACACAGGGAGAAAAATGCAAACTCCACACAGAAATGCTAACTGGCCCAGCCGGGACTCTTCTTCAATCTTCAATCAGCAATCTTCTTGCTGTGAGGCAACAGTGTTAACCACTGAGCCACCATGTCACCAATATAAACCATCTATATTTAAGATTATAAATAGTTTTTATTAAAAAGAAATGTACCTGAACAGGATTGAAAAACTTTCGTGTGTGTGTGTGTGTGTGTGTGTGTGTGTGTGTGTGTGTGTGTGTGTGTGTGTGTGTGTGTGTGTGTGTGTGTGTGTGTGTGTGTGTGTGTGTGAAAGAGTAAAAGAGTGTGTTTTGTGAATATTTATATCAGGCGACTTTATCTCATAGGAAGCATATAAAATTGTGAAAAAATACTCTGCCTAATAGTTGTTCTAATTCACATTTAAGTATTTTGGAAGACTTGACTTGCCTGTTTAAAACATTGTTCAGCATCTATTTAAAGAGTAATCTGATATAATATTAATTTTAATATCCAAAGATTTTTTTTTTTCTTCAACTTTATTTAAAACAATTAAATATGTAAACATTTATACTCCTGTACATAAGGAATATCATTTATTCATATATTCATCCAAATTGTCAAAATTATTTTTATTTACATTTTGTTAGTTTTTTTAAATAAATAAAAGCTATTAAAATTGGTGTCATATTGAGGACTGACAAAAAAAAATCTTGGCACGTTCCTTTAAAAGAGTAAATAGTTATAGTTACTACTCACAAATAGTAACTAGCTTACATTAGTATTAGTATTAAGTAATTAAAAAATAGGGAAAAGTAATGCTTATATTTCCAGTTTGTTAAAGCTACTTGTTGGATTTGCAATCGTTCTGACTCTTGGTCATTGATGTGGGTGACTGACTGTGCGTGTGCTTGTGTCCTCAGCACTCAACACACAACCCCATGCCATAAAAAAAGAGGTCCTATGGCTGAGAAAGACGCTCCTTGCATGAAAACCGCTTAACGGTTCTCAATTATTGTAATCCGCATTTTATTTTCAGTTATAGCAACGATGTTGGGAAAAAGTAATTTGTTTAATAATTTGTTTAAATTTCTATTAATTGTATTAATTTTTGGTGTCTGAATTAATTTGTTACTGGAAAAAAAGTCGCCGTTAGTACACTGTAAACAAAATTAAATTACAGAAATTTACTGTAAAATAACAGAGGTTGAAACACAAAAATTTACCAGAAATTTAAATAAAAGTTAATTTCTGTAATTTAATATCCATTGTTTTACAGTATTTTTTTTTTTTTTTTTTTTTTGTAAATTTTTGTAATTCACCGGCCGGAAATAAACCATAAAATTACAGATTTTTTTTACAGTGTAACCTTAAGTCATTTACTTTTCCGTTATTCCTATCACTGGTCCTCATTCACATAGTTAATACAGATTCAAGTACAAATTTGCACATGTACATATGTGCGCACACACGCAGATATAGGAAAACACACATCCTTAACATCACGTCCAAATCTGAAAATATAAATGTACATTTTTGTAAGTATTTTTGTATTGTCTATATATTTTAGGTATACAATCAAACCAAAAATGATTCAAACACATCAACATTTTTCAAAGTATCAAAGTTTATTTGAAATAGTTTCGAATATGGTAATAACATATGACAAGAACTTGATTTTTCAGTTAAATCGTGTCGGAACAAATGGAGCAATGGATAATCAATCCCCCCAAAATCTAACATATTATATTATGACAATATTTTCACAACTATCAGAACTTTGTTACTTCATTCTGATCCTGAGGATCAGTCTCTAGTCTCTGCTGTCATCCAGATTTGATCAAACCTGAACTTCAGTATTTTATCAGACTCACTTTATCAGCTCCTTTACTTCATGCAGGAGGATGGTTTAATCCACTGTATGAAGGATTTTTGGGTGAAATATTTATTTTTGACTCAGTTTACTCTATTTTGCTAATTTTATTCCATATTCTCTCATGCATAAATGATACACTACATCATCCTCACCCATTAGTAAAAAAAAAACAATCAAAAAATGTCTTTGGTGTCTGAATAATTGTTGGTTTGACTATAAAGATGTAATGATCTGTATTCTGAGGTACTGTTTTTCTGCTCTTTAGCTGTTTCTCTATTGGACGGGACAAGAGCCCAGGGAATTATAATAGTAAAAAGTCAGAGCGATCCGGATCCTGAGCGGATCGGAATCCTCCATCGCCCTGCTCAGCTCAGCGATGGCTCTATGCTTGGGTCAGGTGTTCAGCAAAGACAAGACGTTTCGGCCTCGAAAGCGATTCGAACCTGGGACCCAACGTTTCGAGCTATACAAAAGAGCCCAGGCGTCTCTGAAATCAGGCCTGGACCTGAGAAAAGTGGTGCAGCTGCCAGAAGGAGAGAGCATTAATGACTGGATCGCTGTACATGTTGTGGATTTCTTCAATCGGATCAACCTAATCTACGGGACAGTGAGCGAGTTCTGCACTGAGAAGAGCTGTCCCATCATGTCTGGAGGACCACGTTATGAATACAGGTGGCAGGATGGGGAACAATACAAGAGGCCCACCAAACTGCCTGCTCTAATATACATGAACCTCCTGATGAACTGGATCGAGTCGCTTATCAACAATGAGGACATCTTTCCTACACGAGTAGGTGTGTGACATCAAAAATGGTTTCCAGATTTGCTGCTATGGAGGGATATAGTGTAGAATGTCAATGATACAGTGATGTCCTTCATATCAGTGTTATGATGTTTACAGAGGGATAGAGCATGATGTACTCTCAAATACACAGATGCAAAATAATCTTATTTCAGTTATCAAAAATAATTTCACAAATTAGTAGATTTCTTCTTTAATCTCTTCAACTTAATTGGTAGAAAGGTTTATTTTAGACAGGAGTGAGTATATGAAAATACAATCTCAATTCCCGCATAAACAGATGACCTTTTTAAGTATACCAGCATCCTTTTGCTCCAGACAAATCACAGTCAGAGCTGAGCTATATGACACAATGCATAAACATGCATTTATATTCAGCCGTTTACATGTGTTCGTTGCCTCATTACAAACATACACAGCACATTTCACAATATACATGTTAAAAGAAACCTTTAGGATGGCATTGAATAAATTTGTAAGCAGTATATTGCACATTTTGAAATAAAATTAAATATATTGAGTAAAATTTACTCAGCAGCAGAGTTAAGCAGAGTTAATAAGCAGAACAAACTGCCATGTTTAACTATCATCATCGCGTATTGGACTATTATGAACTCGAAATGGAGGAATTACTCTCTAACAGAGGCTACATGTGCTGCTAAAGATTAAAGATGCAGATGAGAGGTTTGCACTGACTGTGGGCTATAAGTTTCGTCTTGTTTTTGAACCCAAAGGGACTAAATGTATGCTGTGTGTAATTTTTTCTGTGATTGGTAACATATCAGAGACTGTAAGGGTCTGTATGTGTGTTCATATCAAGTGTGCCGCAAGCCTGCGTTTGAGTGAAGGTCTCGGCCGTTAGATCGCCCCCTGGGGGCTGGCTGCAGTACAAGTTATAAAGCCCGCCTCCTCCGGGTTAATGAAGGAGACTTGAGCCCAAATAAAAAAAATTATTACACTTGCAATAAAATGTCCCGAAAGATGGTTCTGGTCGATTAAGGCACTGGTTATTGTGCTGAAATAGTTGCAGATCTTCAATTTTGTAAACAGTTTGTTTTTAGCAGTAATTTAATGCTGTGCATGTCATCGTGATTGACAGCTGTGATTGACAGTTTCTCAAAACAGTGCGTCTGAGCTTCGGCAGGAGACTTAAGTGCTGGACCTACTCCGGATGCCTGGACTCACTGCCCAAATCCAGCTCCAGTCAATCGAGCCTGATGTGGTGGCCGAGCGAGCCGGCGCTGCCGCATGCGAGCCGGAATCAGCTTGCGACGCCGCGAGTAGGTTATGCGCTGCAGCCCGGAGCTGGCGCGATTGAATATATAAAACCCTCATATTTGTTAACGTTATTACATCCATTTGTGTTGATATGACAGCAAACGCATGCTGAGAAGTTCGGGGGGCGTGGTTGATTTTACATAAATCGTTTGGTTGGAAGCTCGACTCCACTCATTTTCGCGGCTCCTCCTCTGGCTCCATCAGACAGTCCTTCTGCGCATGTCAAGGCTCCAATTTCAGCAGTCTTTTGCGACAGTTTGTGCCCGTCAAGCAGCTGGGAAAAGGGGCTGTAGCGTCGTCCATATTTTTTACAGTCATTGGCAGAAACAGAAGAGAAGCAGCAGCAGCAGCTTCACTCATTGCTTACCTGTTTGGCTTTATTTCTGTCAGATGTTAACAAAAGTCCATATGAGATTTATTGAGAAATAACTGTTTTAGTTATTTACATTTTACAAAATAACATCAAAAAGAAAATGGATTTTTTTACTGATTTGACCATTGACTAATTCACCACGGAACAATAATCCAGAGCACAATTGCTGTCTTAATACAATATTTGCCATCATACACTATTTGGCAAACAAGGAGAAACTACCATTAGAAATAGAATCCAAGTAAAGCAATACTGTTCTCCTCAATGGTGACAGCTTAAAACACTAAAAGCTGTGTTTTTTATTGTTGTTGTAAAAAATTACTTATAATTAAAATTCTTTAAATTATCACTATATGGATTTTTATAGAAGTGTGGCGGAAATAAGGCCAAACAGGTTGTTAACAAATAAAGCTGTTGTTTGTGCAGTTGCTTAATGATCCTCTGCTGAAATTTTTCTCTGTTTCTGTATATTAACAACAGGTGTTCATCATCAGTGTTTAATCAACATTTAATCAATCCCTTCATTGTCACATTAACTTTAACTCTGCTACTGAGTAAATTTTACTCAATTTAGAGAGGGACCAAATATACTGAACTATAAGTAAATTTTACTTTTTTTTTTTTTTTTTTTTACTAATTTTGCTGTGTACCTAGTGGATGCTGTTCTCTCATTAGCTGTAGGTAATCGCCTGTTATTTTCAATCAGAACACGTTGCACACGGCATATCTCAGACAGGTCCAGATATTAAGCAACCCAAATCTCACAGGTGTCAGCGACTTATCGCCGATTCTCTCAGATCGCGTCTTTGATGGTTTACACTGTGATTGATTCTCACATGAACAAGCACCGATTTTCCTGTGATTTCAGCATTTGTCTGCGATTTCTCAAAATCGGGGGTAAAATCATGCAGTTCTGTCCAGTTTTCTAAGAGTCCCAATTACACACACTGTAAAAAACCCCGTAATTTTATCGTTAATTTCCAGCAGCTGGGGTGCTGGAAAAAGCCCGTAAAATAACGGCCGTTGAATTACAAAAATTTACCGTAAAATAACATATATTAATTTAAAGAAATTTTCCAGAAATCAAAATTTAAGGAAATTTCTGTAATGTAATATCCGTTATTTTACAGTATGTTTCTGTAATTTAACGGCCGTTTTTTTTGTGTGTTTTTTTCCGCCACCCCAGCTGCCGTTTTTTTTTTTTACAGTGTAGTAAATATACAAACTTAAACTTCAAAAATGGGTGGGGGTGTGATCATTGTTGTAATCTCGTTAACAAACATTGTATCCAATCAAACTGCTGTGGCCATGCAATTGTGTGGATTGTCAGAGTCTGTGTTTTGTTCTGAATGGCCTGTTTTTTTTACACTGACTGACTCTTATTTTTCAGCCATGCCTAGTAAAGTGTATCCAGATTTTCATTCTATGCCTCCTTTAATGTTTTATTTAGTAAGTCTAATATAAAATCTTAAATGTTTTAGTAAAAAAATGTGAAATAGTTTTAAATATTTGCTAATCAAAGTAATTTAGTGCAATCAATATGCAGGCAAAAAATGAATAAATTTAAAAAGTACCTTAAACGATCACATTATTTGTTATGACGAAAAAAATTTATGAACATTTTTAATGAATAGTATGTGTATACACACAAATTACAGGGGGAAAAATGGAATTATGTTATACTTTATGGCTACACAACATTATATTTTTGTCATAATCCAATATGATTACAAAGAGATTATTTACTACAACTTGGCACATTTGTTATAAACTGGATATTTTCAAATTCAGTCAATTAAATACATTTTTTATTTCCTTTTTACAAGAAATAGCTTTTAATAGCTTACCCTATTAATAAATGAGCAAAGAAAGCAAATGGAAGGAAGTAGTACAAAAATAGTTACATATAAAAATGAGAAACTACACAGTTAAGATTCTCAGCAATTGCTATACAGTTTGCAGGCCAGGGAATGCTAGACATACTTCTGTCTGAGAAATGTGACTGAATAGTGTTACCGAAGCCATACTTAAGCTTTGCCAACAATTCATACTTCCACAGGCTAAACTATTTGCTGAAACTCTTGAGACTTATTCTCAGTAGCCATTCTCTCTATAAACGTCATAAACATTTTCTCATGAAAGAAAATCACCAGTATCTAGTTAACTATTAGTTTTCACAAATGTAAATGGATTGAATATAAAACAATAAGTTGTCCCTCCAAAAAAAAACTCAGGAGTTGTGTTGTTTCAACTCATATTAAATACGTAGTTGGAACAAACAGCAAATGTCCTTTTTTAAGTGTTCTATCATTTAAAAATGTGTACTAGCATTATGTGATATAAGAATGACTCTGGAATTTTTTTGTTTTTGTTTTTAGGAGTCCCTTTTCCAAAGAACTTTCAGCAGGTGTGCAAGAAGATTTTAAGTCGCTTGTTTCGGGTGTTTGTGCACGTGTACATCCATCACTTTGACATGATCTGCAGTATAGGAGCTGAGGCTCACATCAACACCTGTTACAAACACTACTACTACTTCATCTCGGAGTTCAGCCTCATTGACCACTCTGAGCTGGTGCCCCTGGTGAGAGAGCTGTGCTTTATTACTGTTATAAAGAAGAATAGAGTGCCGATTATTATTGCTAAGTGGTTTCCCTGCCCCTCTCTCTCCTCTTTAAAACGAGCTGAGGATCTGAATCGGGTGTCTTAAACAAAGAAGAAAATACACAATATGCAGGGGTGAGGGGTTGTGGGGGGGCCAAGGACTGGAGTTGGGAACCAGTATAACACCGAAAATGACACATAGTGATATAAAAGATAGAAATAAGTACACTGTAAAAAAAGAATTAAGTTAATCATGTTCTAAATTAATTTCATAATGTACGCAAACTGTTTTAAGTCAGTTTAATATGCATTCAAAGGACTTATTTGATTCAGTTTAAAAATTTAAGGCAACCAGTACTTTTTACAAAATAGAGTTTACATACTACTTAGATTAACCTGCAAGTTTTTTATGATTAAAACAATGGAGATCAATAGTAGAGAATGATTGGGAACACTTGATTTTTTTTCAGAAATAATGTAATTCTTGTTGTTCAGAATTTGAAGCAGTTATAATCATAGCTAATTCATGCTGTAGTACAAGGCACTTAAAACAAATTATCAACACTACCTGACAAAAGTCTTGTCATCTTTCCAAGTTTTAGGAATAACAAACAATAACTTGACTTTAAGTTGATCATTTGGTATCAGAAATGGCTTATATGAAAGGCAAAGGCCTCTACATTACGCTTATTTTCCCAAAATAAAATATGATCATGCCTTGATTTTTAATTGTTTAATTAGAACAGTAAGGTCTGCTTTAGAGTTTTAAGTTTTGCTTTAACAAAAGTCATTTAACAGAAATAATGTACAATATAGAATATAAAGTCATGGTACAGATTAAGGACTGAATCCATACATCTCTGCAATGACTCAAATAACTTATTAATAAAGTCATCTGGAATGGCAAAGAAAGCATTATTGCTGGACTCTCAGAGTTTATAAAGATTCTCTGGAATTATCTTCAATGCCTCCTCCATCTTACCCTAGACATACTTAATCATTTCTTGATCTGGTGACTGGGCTGGCCAATCCTGGAGCACCTTGACCTTCTTTGCTTTCAGGAACTTTGATGTGGAGCTGAAGTAAGAGAAGGTGTGCTATCCTGCTAAAGAATTTGCCCTCTCCGGTGGTTTTTTTAACATAGTGGGCAGCAAAATTATTTTGATACCTCAGGCTGTTGATGTTACCATCTACTCTGCAGATCTTTTGCATGCCGCCATACAGAATGTAACCCCAAACCATGACTTTTCCTTCACCAAACTTGACAGGTTTCTGTGAGAATCTTGGGTCCATGCAGGTTCCAATAGTTCTTCTGCAGTATTTGTGATGATTGGGATGCACTTCAACAGATGATTCATCAGAAAAATCTACCTTCTGCCATTTTTCCAAATGATCAACTAGAAGTCAAGTTATTATTTGTAACTCTAACAACTAAGATTGATGACAATACTTTTGTCAGGTAGTGTAAACACAGTGGAAAATACAGGAAGAATAATTACATCTAAAATAATGAACATAATTGAAAATCAACATAATTTTCCCCATCACATTCAAATAAATGAAACTAGCTAAAGTGAACACTGGACCAGTCCTCTGTCCACACCACATGCTCCTTAACAAAAGTGAATCAAGCTATCCTTAGTTTCTTTCTGCTAATGAAAGGATTTGTCACTTTATATCTCAGTTAAATTCTCTAAAATGCTGAGACTATATTTATATTCCATCCACTTGTGTTTATGTTCACTTGGACTGCCACATGAAAATGCTTAATGGAACACCAAGACGAGCATACATTTCTGAAAATCTGCAATAAAATCGTATGTGACTGTGCAGAATAAGAAAAAATGCCCTTTAACTATGATGAAAACACCATCAAAAATGTAATGTGATTTTGCTTAAATGGAACATCTTATAACACCTTTAATGGACAAACCAGTGGACCGACCACATTGCACAACATCTGAAAAGAGCGGTCTCACAGCTCCAAAAGCCAGCTATGACTGCTTTCAATGCATTTTAATTTATTATACAAGTAAAAAACCTCACAGTGGCTTCTTCTACTGACACAAATTATATTTTTGACATTTGGTGACAGTTTATTAGTAAGTTATGATTTTGTTCTTTGACTCATTGGATGGAAACGGTGCTTTATTCACAAATGTTTTATTCCAGTATTGTGCATAAATATAATTTAGAATCATAATGTTTGCTGAGATTTTTTTTATATATTATATTTTTTGTTGTGCTGTGCTTCATAATATATACAACTCATGAAATATGACTAATAACTGCTTTTTACATCAGTTTGGATAACTTCAAATAAAACAGTGACCTTGAAATGTAGGTTCTTAATTTTCTTAATTTTGATCTCCACTGTAGATGTTGACAGCACATTGCAAATGTGATATGTTTGTCCTAATAATTGATTTTTTTTTTTTGTCTGTCTTCACAGAAAGAAATGACTGAGAAGATTTGCCACTGAAAGATGCAGAGAAGATTGGATGTGCATCCAAAAGCACAAAACTTTAAACATTAAAAATAACCTACTTGAGCTCCTTAATATCAGGGAGGACCAGAGACTGACAAATGAGCTAAAATTCAACGTTTACTGAAACGGTGTGGTGTTCAACATGTATTTTCGATGGAGTATACTATATATCTCAAAGTCTGCAGTATTTATATGAAATGATGCATTAATTGCTTAGTATTTTACATACATTTCCAAACATTTCACAATGTGACTTAAAAGATACTTTAGAAAATGAGCCCTAAGGGAATCTAGTCTTGAAAAGGCATGTCTGAAATTTTTCCTAGGTTTGAGATGTTACATGTTTGCTCTGTTGTGTCCTTTCATAGGGCAAAATCCTTTGCCATTATTTTTATTTAAGCAGGGCATGTGCAGTAAGAAACAGTTGTGATAGCTAGTTTTTGATGTTGAATAGTACTCCACAGTATTATTCTTTTTCAGACATATTGTCTATCGCATTTTTTGCATGCAACTTTAAAATATAAACATTTGAAATAACTGTTCTTTTCTGTTTTTATGAAATTGGATGAAAAATACGAGCCAACATTTTTTACATAATGATAGTCCGACGATCACATTCTGACAAGCTTTAAACTTTAGGCCTTGCTTGATAGCATTAATATTTATTTCACTCAAAGTATATCAGGGGTATCATGTCTTGTCCCTGGAGGACCCTGCAAAGTTTATCGCCTCATACTCTAATTAAACACACCTGAAGAAGCTTATAAAAGTCTTAAGCTGCGGTCACACTGGACATTTCTTCTCATAGACTTCCATTCATATGCACGCAAATGCGTCAGACTGGAAACGCAAGGTCGTGCATCAAATTTCACAGTTCACTGCATTGTAAAGTTCAAGCTCGGTAAACTCTGACCTGCGAAATCGCATGATATGACTGCATGAGACTAAAGCTGCGGTCACACTAGTGTTTGAAAATGCGAAATTCTGTTGTGCGGCGCTGCGAAAAGGGGCAGGATTAAACAAGACAGTTAGACATAAAAAAAGCGACCGATTGCTCCATGTTTTAAATTTCTGTCCAGAGAGATCATGTTTAGATCCTTGATTGGTCTCACGCAGCCAAGCGATGCGATTTCGCAGGTCAGAGTTCAACAAGCTTAGACTTTGCACCGCAGCGACCTGCGAAACTTGACACACGACCTTGCGTTTCTGGTTTGACGCATTTATGTGCGTATGGATGGAAGTCAATGGGGAGAAAACTCCAGTGTGACCGCAGCTTAAGAAAAAGGCTCATCAATATAAAAAAGGGCTCATCAAACTGGCTGTAGTGGGTCCATGGCAATGTTTGGAGAAAAAGAATAATAAATCAATTAAATTATAAAATAAAATAAATAGGGGTCACGTTAGTGGCGCAGTAGGTAGTGCTGTCGCCTCACAGCAAGAATGTCGCTGGTTTGGACCTCGGCTCAGATGGTGTTTCTGTGAGGAGTTTGCATGTTCTCCCTGCGTTCGCGTGGTTTTCCTCCGGGTGCTCCGGTTTTCCCCACAGTCCAAAGACATGCGGTACAGGTGAATTGGGTTGGCTAAATTGTCCATTGTGTATGAGTGTGTGTGTGTGTGTGTGTGTGTGTGTGTGTGTGTATGTTTCCCAGAGGGTTGCAGCTAGAAAGGCATCCTCTGCGTAAAAACGTGCTGGATAAGTTGGCGGTTCATTCTGCTGTGGCGACCCCGGATTTATTAGGGGACTAAGCCGACAAGAAAATGAATGAATGTATAAAATAAATAACTCAAATAATATATTTTTTTAAATAAAAGAGTTATTTCATTTATAAACAAACAATAAAATAGCATAACTGTGATATAAATATTCTTATGATTTTTAAATAATCAATATAAAATTGTAAATATATACGATTTAAATAAAGCAATTTAATATGCATTTCTAATTATAACTGTATTTAATTAACAAGCTGGAAAAGAAATAATTAATTTACTGTATGCTAGCATTTATGGTTGTTAAAATACACTGTGGCCACGCATCAATATTAAAACCCCATGTGAACGTGTAATTTGTACAACAGGCCCCATTTAAACCTTATATAATTAGAAAGACAAGCATTTGGTATAAAAGTAACCAAATGGACTCACTTAATAGACTCCTCTGCGTGAAAACCACTTCCTGGTAAGGCTTAAAAAATGAAACAGTACTAAATTAAACGAGTTGACACTAACAAAAGCCCATCTGGGAAATTCTAACTATCCCCAGTATTTCCATACCACGTCATTCTACCGATTGCGTAACTGATGTTGCAAGGTATTAACGTTAAAATATACTGTTTTCTTCAGTGTGTGAGTCTAACAATTTATTTTCAACGGCCCTGTGACTATCCCATTTAAAACGTTTAACATGAAATATATATTTAACCTCCAGTGAAGCTTTGACAAATACAAACCTATGAATCAGACTCGTGGCATTAGCATATGAATATTCATTAGCACGTGCTTACGTTTCTTCGTAATGTCCAGTCATGGTCCAGTCACAGTCACGTTCCCTGATTAATATTCATGAGCCATCTCGTCACCCTAGTGTGATTCGCAAATACGCCGCAGTGTTTTCATCAGTAGGAGGGCGGTTGGCGCGTTTGGGGGTGGTGCTGTTGTGTTTCTGTGTTGTCCCCCCTCCACCTCTTCCTCCTCCTCACTGCTGCTGTTCAGCGGAGGATGGCGGAGGCAGTCCCTGTCCAGCGAGACTCATTCGGCTGCAGTTTACAGGTCTGAACTTTAAGTAATTTATCCAATAAATATAACTTTAACGTTATACACAATTATACTTACCTTGAGGTCAAGTCCAGCTCGCTGCGGTTGTTTGGATGAGGTGATTAAGTGGCTTCACTAGTAAGTTAACGTTAGCTCGATTCGCGCCAGTAAACATTAACCGTCAGGTCGCATAACAAACGCTTGGATTAAATTCTGAATGAGTTAACATATCTCCGTTCACATTAGCGTTATGTTTCATGTCTTTAAATGTCGGAAGTTAACGTTAGTCAAAACGCCTATTCGGTACGTATTCTGCTGACATCGTTACACTATTTTAGTTCTCTGACACTTGTAGCTTGTCTTCGTAACTTGTTTTATAGTTTAGGTTCACCTCCTCTTAAAGGGATAGTTAACTCATAAAAGAATTCTGTCATCTTCATGTTGAGGTAATCCTGCACGACTTCCCGTGAAACATAAAAGAGGTACTCTCAGTCTCTCTTGCATCTCTTTTCCAAACAATACAAGTAAATGGTGACCAAGGCTGTTTCTTACAGAAAAAATGCGTCCAATTTTGTGACGTTACCTGCATAAACTGATTCTTAAATCAACCATTATTGTCTTTGCTAGGTAGCTGCTGAGTTGCTGTTGCTTTAAATATGTTAATTTTATCAAACGCTATCCAGCATTCCCGCCCTTTCAACTGTATTATTTATTAGCGATGAAAATATTTAATACGTTTTCGATAATAATTTCGTATAAGTCATAGCATTTAATTACTCTTCGTTCTTCTTATTTCCTCTGTATTTATGCGGTACAACGACTATGCTGTTATTAGTGTGCTGGGTTTCCCCAGATTTAAACTTGACCAAACATGCAATTTCTCACGAAGCCGTTACATAGTTTCACTTGACCTACATACATTAAAGAAAACCAGTTGTCACACTGGGCTGCCGCTTCACGGTGTAACGTTACGTCACGAGTTTTCCCTGCGGCTTGAGGGTGTCACGGCTCCGTAAAAAAAAAAAAAGCTGTCACGGCTCCGTCTCGCGTGGTTTCTGGAATCATCTCATGCCTGTTTTTTTTCTTTCAGCTCGCTCCACTCCTTCAGGCGCTCCACTGCTCCTGCCAGGTACGAGCAAGTATCACGACTTGCCTTAAAATGGGCTTTCTGTGTATCAAACTGTTGCTTAAAATTAAAACAGAGCTAACAGTCTTGCATATTTGAGAAGTTTTGAAACGCTTATTGAGTCATGATGAGAGGCTTGTTGAAAGCGAGAAATGAGATAAGTGCACACTGCAAGTTTTACTGCTTATGTTCACTTCCTCTTTATTTGATTGAAGTTCATGTTTACAGGACACTGAAAGTGAACTGCTAAATTAAGATATGATAATTTAGTTATGCACTGTTTTTCAAAAATAGTTTCTGCCTTATATTTTTAGTTGAATCAAATAACATATTTTTTAATCAGTTTAAATGCTGAGATCAGTTGAATCAAAGTCAAAAATTAAATAAAAAATTATATATCGGAATATCAAAAATATTAATGAGCATTTAATATTAAAATGAAAGTTAGAATTTGTATAATCAATTAAAGTTATAACCTGATCAACCATCGATCACTAAACCAGTCAACTTGTCAATTTGATTAAATTGAAATTTATACATCACATGAAATCTGAATAAATAAGTGCTCCTTTAATGTATGTGTTAGTAAAACAGGATGATATTCGACAGATATGCATTAATTTACACATTTTCCTCTGGCTTAATCCCTTAGTTTATTTTTTATTTTTATCAGGGGTCGCCACAGCTGTTTCAATAAAGTGCTAGCAATGCACTTAACAAAAAAAAAAGATTTGGTATATTTACAGAAGTATATTTATCAAAAAAAAAATTATATATATATATATATATATATATATATATATATATATATATATATATATATATATATATATATATATATAGGTTAGCTAGGCAGGTTAAGTGTAATTAGGCAAGTTAGTGTGAAACGAGTGTTGACTCTCGAAAAAAAAATCTGCATAAAGGATCTAATAATTTTGACCTTAAAATGGCTTTTAAAAAATTAAAAACTGCTTTTATTCTAGCAAACATAAAACAAATAAGACTTTCTCCAGAAGAAAAAATATTACCAGACAAATTTCCTTGCTCTGTAAAACATCATTTGGGAAATATAAAAAAAAAAAAAAAAAAAAGAACTCAAAGAGGTGCTAAAAATTCTGACTTCAACTGTGTGTGTGTGTGTGTGTGTATATATATATATATATATATATATATATATATATATATATATATATATATATATATATATATATATATATATATATTAGTGCTGTCAAAATTAACGTGTTAACGCATGCGATTAATTTGAAATAATTAACGCATTAAAAAAAATTAACGCAGTTGCAGTTTTTTTTTCCTGTTGTGGTCAGGGGCAGACTGGGCAGTTTCCTGCTGGGTTGACGTACTTTTTGGGCCAGGCTGATCATCTTCTTATGATCTGATCAGCCCATAAAACACTTAGCAGACTGTCATTTTTTTCTCCCTAAGTGATTGACGAGCTGTCACGCTGCTGTGAGCTGTCACGTTCTGAAAGTAAGATGTTTCTTTTCCGGACAGAGCGGCCATGTGACATAATCTGCAGCCCATTGGTTCTTTTCTTTATGACATTTGGCTGACCCAATCACAAACTTCCATGTTGGGCTCTGTATAACGTAGGTGTGTATTTGTCAAAATAGTGGAGAGTCAAGCCTGTTTCTTACGTGTGAGATAGCCGAAGCTGAGAGCAGCCATTTGACTTTTGCGTCTCTGCACTCTGCAGTGTGCAGCGAGGCACAGATCAATATATTCCTGTCTATTCTATCTAGTTACCCATCTGTCCATATAAGTATACTTTTTTTTTTTACTTTTAATCTGCACCACGTCCCGCGGCAACTTCCTCCTATGCTGTTTCCTTGACCTGCAAGTTTTTATTTTACAAATTATAAAGAATGTCTGCTTCTCAAGCTCTATGAGATGTGTCAGTCATGTATTTTAAGATGCACTCGGTCAGAAGACAATCGCATGAGATATCATGACATTGTGTTTTTGATCGTCAGCATGATGTAGGTTTATAGTGAAAATAATATTCATACGATATGGTTATTGTAGTGATATTTATACATGACCAAACCAGTGTGCAGCTTAGTTTTGTTGTTCTGCCCAAACAAATATTTGTTGCATTTTTCAATTGTTTAAGTTCATTTGATCGAATCTTTTAGCTTCGTTTGTTTCATTGCTGGGTTAAAAAAAAAAAGTAAGGGTCTCTGATACATTGCTTTTAATAATTATCTTTATTTAATTAATTAACATTAACTGTGTGCGTCAGCAGGCAGTTTTTGTCATGTTCATTATTTATTAGCCTCTCTCAAAACACCCACATTTCCAGTGTGGATTATAATTTTATTATAATAATAATATAAAAATTAAGTTTTTAATTTGTCAACTCTCGTTATTTCCTATATATGGCTTTTGTGCTTTTATAGAGTGGGAGTTGGTAAACATATTCAAGGGTGTGGGGTGATGGGGAGCATTTTGATTGATGTAGTGGGCCGCTCTGGCCTAAAATTCCAGGGCCGATTAGTTTGTCCCAGGCCAGCCCTGCAATTTGTACAATTGTTTGTATTCAATACTTTATTATTATTATAATTTTTCATTTTCCATATTTGTAATGTCTGTATATATATATATATATACATATACATATATATATATATAAGGTAATCTTTGCTTATTATTCTAATGTTTTTTGGCATAATAGAAAAATCAATAATTGTGACCTATACAATGTCTTTTTTGCTGTTGCCAAATACGTTTAAAGGGTAAAACTAATAGTTCTAAAAGCCTGCAACAAATATGGAAAGCAATTTAATTTCATTAAACATTTAATTTAGTTTGAATTTTGTCATTTTGCACACATAGCTCATAACTGAATATTAGTTAGTAATATTATAAATTTTATTAATATTAACAAAAGATTATGTCATTCTGCTTTTGTCTTGCTGCCAACCAATCACTGCTATGATAATCACGATTTTCACAACTATCAATATCTTCACAACAAACACAAGCACACATTAATCTCAGAACTGTTTAACCAGATATTTTAATCTGATTTGCAAACTTGTTCTAAAAAACAAATTAGCCGGAGATCAGTTATCACCATTAAAAGATCCAACATCTGCAAAGTCATCTTAGATTAAGCAATGTATGGAGAATGGACCCCAGATCAGTTTATGAAGATTTCTTAGTTATTGTTTAAAATCAGTTCCCCTTTGTAATGAAGAAAGTTTTTTTTTTTACTTTGGGTCTTACTGCTGGTCCATGTACAGTATAACTCTGTAAGAATTAGAACGTTGATGTTGTGTTCTGTTATTAAAACTTTGTTTTATTCTTCCAGATATCCAGTAGCATTCTGGGATCGGGTAAGGTGGAGAGCCGTGGTTCGCTCTCTCGTGTCCCCAGTACCGTCTCGCAAACCTCTACAGGTACAAAGACATTCTGCCAATCATGACATTACTCCAGAAATGAAGTTCTCACAAAAGAATCTTTGAAGTGGACTTTATTATTATTATTATTATTATAGTTATTATTCTTTTTAATATTATTATATAGGATTAGGAATGGAGAGCAGTCAACCAATCAGCATCACAGACCCAAGTTCACGCCGAAAGAAGAAACGCAGAAGAGCCGGAGACAGTTTCACAGGCAAATTTTGTGGTAATTTATCATCTTGAACATTCCAAAAAATGAGCTTTTCTTTCTAATGTGTCTTCTGCACTATTCCATCTGTATAATCTGTGGTGTGCATTATCAGATCTTTCAAAACATTTGACTGCATTTCCTTACTATACTTTCTGATTGGAATATGTGTGTTGTCAGCTCAGAAGTGCGTGTGTTTCTGTTTTAGATCTATACAGGCTGACGGATGAGCTGCTGGGTCAGGGAGCTTATGCCAAAGTCCAGGGCTGTGTGAGTTTACAAAATGGCACGGAGTATGCGGTAAAGGTGAGATGATGTCAATGTCACATCCTCAAAATAGTCACATTGCAAGATAAGCAATGTTGAGTCTGAATTATAGTTCAGTAGGAGCTACAGAAATTTATTTATTTACTGTATTTATATAGAATTATTACAATTTATGTTAAAAAAAATCTTAGAAATGTTTGTCTTGTTTCTAGTCCAAATATCTACATTTATAAAATATAATATATTATAATAATACAAATATCCACACAAAGTGAAACGAGATTATTTTACTTACCCCACTGGCAGATAATTGTGCTTGTTTTAAGAAAACTTTTTTTTTACTTATTACTTTTGAATATTTTTTACTAGATCTAAGTATTTATATATTATATATTTATATATTATTTGGACTAGAAATGAGACAAAGTAAGAAAAGCAGTTTTTGCATTATGATTTATTCAATTTCTCCAGCTAAATACTGGAAGACCCCCCAGAAAATGGATTTTTAACTATCTTATGAAACTATTCATATAGCAATATTTACTGCAGAAAAATAATATATCGCAATATCAGATTTTTCCAATATCATTCAGCCCTACATCCTTTAGATAATCATGTCATTATATCATAGTATTTGACTTCTAACTCTTAAAAACTTAGATTTTGTCTTAAAATATTGAATTAGTTTTCTGTACACAAACATAATGTTTTACTTTGTATAACTTGGCTGTGCTTCTCAGATAATCGAGAAGAATGCTGGTCACAGTCGCAGCCGAGTTTTTAGAGAGGTGGAGACGCTTTACCAGTGTCAAGGAAACAAGTAAGATCATAGTCCAAACACTCCACCAGCTATTTTATTCAATAAAATAATTTCAGAATTATTGTTATTGATAGAAGTAAGTTGTAGAAATTACTGTGTTTCTCTCACAGGAACATTCTGGAGCTGATTCAGTTTTTTGAAGATGACAGCTGCTTTTATCTGGTGTTTGAGAAGTTACGTGGAGGTATCGTTCATCATTGTAGCTGAGTAATACAAAAATGCTTATTCCACCTTTTTTTTCTAAATATTTTCTTTTGTCCTCCTAGGTTCCATTTTGACACACATCCAGAGTCGAAAATACTTCGACGAGAGAGAAGCGAGTCGTGTGGTCAGGGATATAGCAAATGCACTAGACTTTCTGCACAACAAAGGTAAACATTGTATGTGTACTCTACAGCCTACTAACCATGAATCAGCATCAGTCTGTTTATTTACACTTGTCTCTATTTTTCCCACAGGAATCGCCCACCGTGATCTTAAGCCTGAAAATATCCTCTGTGAATATACTGATAAGGTAACACATGCCTTTAGAGATTGGTAACATTGTGTTGGCTGTCTGGCCTAGAGAAACTACAGTGCAAACTGAAAATTGCATCATTTTATGTGAAATATATAACGTAGAGCAAAATTTGGGTCTGTTTGGGTTTCGTATTTTTTAAGTAGTGCCTTAAATTCACTGAAAATATACTGAATTGGTAAAAAAAAAAATTTTGGAAAACATTTACAGTAATAGAAAAAAACTTGTCTAAAATAACTTAATGCATTTAAAAATGCTATAAATTTCTTTGTTAGCAAAGCTGCAATTTTACACTTTTCAGAAATCATTTTTAGGAATGTCATTCTTCCATATAAATACAGATTTCCGTATTTTCCAAGCTCAATGGGGCGACCCCTGGAATTTGCATAAATCGAACGTTTTTTGGGAGGGTCTCCAGACGATCTGCTTCACTCCTGACGTATTTCAGGAATGTAATTGTAGACCTACCGAGGCTGCTGTATATGTAACATAATGGGCTCTATTTTAAGAACTTGACGCAAAGTCTGAAGCACAGGGCGCTAAAGTGTTAAGGGTGTATCCGTAACCACTTTTGCTATTTTAAGGACGGAAAAATAAGCTCTGCGCCGCGCATGTTCTAGCAGTGTTGTGCTTATTCTCTTAATGAGTTCTGGGTATGTTTTGAGAATAAACCAATTAGAGTCTCATCTCCCATTCCCTTTAAGTCCCTCCATTGGCAATAAAATGACGAACTTGCCTGCATTTCGCACAACAGGGGCGACGCCACACCTCGCCATGCAATATAGAATTCTAAACATAGGTTTCTTTCAGGGTACACACAACGGCGCTTCAAGTCGGCAGCTTTCTGCGGCGCCCAGCCACGATTCGGGACACTTCATATTTCTTCCGCGCCACAGAGCGCCATCTAAATTGTTTCATTTTAAATAACATCCGAATGTGCATGTCTGGTGTGCTGTGTCGCGGCTATGAGCTCAAAGTTAATTCAGTGCGCGTGGTTATTAGTCTTGGTATACAAGTTTGGAACTTTAAAGTAGAACACGGTTGGCTGTAAAACTATACAAAGACGCAAATGATTTTGTACTTTCTGCTTGGTCTGTGTCCGAGTCGTACCTGTATAGCTGAATGCTGGTCCTCTCACTCATTTTGCTTTTCTTTGTCTGCCTGTTTGTTGCTCTGTCCCATTGTTATGTTGTGCGCGAAGTTGAAACTAATTTTCATGTGAAGCAACACACCCCTAAAACAGCGGCTGTGTACAGGCTCCCAAAATAACACTTAACACATTATAATAAAAACAATCTGAACTGTGTTTTGAACTGAACCTAAACTGGCACACTCCACTCAGAAGAATCATAATATTAATATTAAATCTTAAAAAAGAGGTAAACTATGTGCCCTTTAAATATTACTTCGGTCATTATTAAACTGTTAAACATTTAAACTGATAAAACAACAGCTAAAACTTAAATTTTGTGGCCAATAACTAATGTTTAAAGAATTTAATTTATTACTATTTTTAGAATTATTATTTAAAAGCGCGCGCGTGTGTGTGTCTTAATAATTCTTAAAATAATATTAGGTTCTTTATAATATTATTTTTTAAGGGGGGCGGGGTCTCGTCTTTTTTGTCTTCGGCTGATCACATGCCTGTATTTTAGACTGCAGATTTTATTAATATAGGTTTGAAAACAGTTGTGCTGCTTAATATTTTTGTGGAAACAGGTAATGCGTGTCTTTTAAAAGTTCAAAACAATCATTTATTGGAAATAGAAATCTTTTAATATTTGTTAATGCTTTTACTGATCAGTTCACAAGTAGTGGTGTGCGGTATGACGATTTTTGATTGTGGCCAATTAAATTGTCTCCACAAACATTGTGCTACTGTGCTCATTGTTTTAGTTTCATACACTCATGACGCAAGTATGTTAGTTGCATATGCTTTAAAAAGCCTTGCCGGTCAAACTGTGTATTTGCATGCTGAGGGAGTGCATACACCTGAAGGACTAGACTATCTTTTCATGTCTGATTACGCTAAACAACACAAAATTTGCATGCAAACACATTTGGTTAAGTCTAAAGTGAAAAGTAAACAGTTTGTAGGACAAATAGAATGAGTGACTGTGTAGGTCTTAAAATGGCCACAGGCTTAGGAATGAATTCTGCTGCATTAAGTGATAATTCACCCAAAATGCAATCCCTCAGTATTTGCTCACAATGATAATATCCCAAATCTGTATGTATTTCTTTCTTGTCCTGAACAAAGAAAAAAGATGTACTGAAGAATGTGGGTGACAGTTGCTGGCTGTTGATAGCAGGACAAAAATACCATGGAAGTCAGCGTTTTGTTCTGATAAAAAGTTGACATATCACCCATCCCTAGTTTACAGTAATTTATTCTTGCTAAATAAACACTTTATCACTTTATAAACACTTTTTTGATACTGATTCTTTTTTCTCTTAATCTTATTCATCTCAAACTTTTGAATGTTAATAAATACAATTAAAATCTAACCAGCCTGTATTGTTCTGTAATGTTTGTTTGTTTGTTTTTCCTACAGGTTTCCCCTGTGAAGATCTGTGATTTTGATCTTGGCAGTGGAGTAAAGCTGAACAGTGCCTGTACCCCAATTACCACCCCTGAGCTCACCACACCGGTAAACACAACCTCAGATCTGTCCTAAATGTTTTTGGCACGCCAAACTCTGTCAAGGGTTGTTACAGTGTTTAAGTAGCATCATGTCTGTGCTGCAGTGTGGCTCAGCAGAGTACATGGCTCCTGAGGTGGTGGAGGTCTTCACGGACGAAGCTTCATTCTATGATAAGCGATGTGACCTCTGGAGCCTCGGGGTCATTCTCTACATCCTGCTTAGCGGGAGTCCGCCATTTACTGGCCATTGTGGCACCAACTGTGGCTGGGAACGAGGAGAAACATGTCGTTCCTGCCAGGTAAGATGAAGTCACACTAAGTCAAATGTGTGTCAAATTCACTTTTCATATAGAGAGATTTGCAGTCTTGATTTCTTTCATTCAGAATAATCTGTTTGAGAGGATTCAGGAGGGAAAGTATGAGTTCAGCGATGGAGTCTGGACACAGATATCAGCTGATGCCAAAGATCTGATCTCGCGGCTACTGGTGCGAGATGCCACTTTACGGCTAAGTGCCGCTCAGGTCCTGCAGCATCCCTGGGTGCAGGGGGTGAGTCTCCTTTCTAAGATGATAATTAATTAAAAACAGTTCAATAATTTTACTTTTTAAACATAATTTTCTTTTGATACAAAATATGTTTGTGTATAAGTTTATAAAACCTGGCATAATTATGTTTATATAAATGTTATTTATTTGTGGTGTAACGGTTTACAAAATTCATGGATTGGTTCAATAAAGCACAGTGGTGTCATGATGTGGTAAGTTTTGGATACAGGAAAAAGAAATTAAATAGATTCTTTTTTAATAAAACTTGAAACATAAAGGATCAGCTTTTTCTTATTTTAAACAACAGAGCTGTGCTTTCCTAGCAGCATATACAATACAACTGATACAGCTGCTTTTAATAATAGAAAATGTAATATTATAGTAGTTATAAATAATAAAAAAAAAAACAAATTGAAGTGTGTTTTTACTCTGCATCCACATTTTTAATGGACAGCAAAGATGTGCTTGCTATAAATGTCACCTGCAGTGGAATAGGACTAGATGCTAGGTCCCACAGCCAGGAATTATGCTCTGGCTGAAATGGGTTTATGAAGGAATAGTGTAAGGGGGCTTTTATTAATGTAAACCATGCATAATTCCTTTCTTTATGTACTAAGCATATTTTCAAAGTTGTTTTCAATGGGAGCATTTCCGTAGATTTTTAGCTCATCGAGTGTATTTATTTTATTTAATATGAAATTTTTTATTTGATTTCTTTACAATACAGTTTGTAAAGTAGAATTTTCTGTCTTTTAGTAGATGCATCATAGAGAGACTTGCCTTGTTTACCAAAAAGTGGATCTAATTGGATTTGCATTGTAAACATTAAATAAAATTCAAAAGGTATTTAAGTTTTTACAAAACTCCCAAAATCATTCCGCAAAAAAATCTGCAGATTTTCTTTCTTTCTTTCTTTTTTTTTTTTTTTCTTTTTACAAAATTGTGCACAGAAATAGCAAAAAATGTCTGCAGATTCTGTCTGGTCCAAGTCATGAGGCACTGAGCATCTGTTTCACATGAAGCCCTGAGTGCTCAGTGTTTTTCTACAAGCTGTGGAGATTGACTTTAAATGCAGAGCTGCAGAAGTGCTCTCATGTGTTTTTTAAGGCGCACTGGTGTATTTAAATAAGAAAGCATTTTGTATGATATTAATATAAATATATTAACATGGAATATAATGGAAGGCATGTTTCTTCAGCACTAAATCAGATTATTAGATATATTATACGATACAGTGTTCAGTATAATGGAGTACACCCCTATTTGAAAATGAATTTTTTTTATCCATTGCTCAGTGAATATAGGCAATGTATTTTGGTGCATTTAAACAAAAACAGATTTATTGAACAGACATAATTATTAAAATAATATCTTAGTCACCAAACATTTAGAAATGGTAAAATAATGAAATTAAATTCAGGCTAAATATTGCGAAGAAAAAAAATTACAACCTACAAAAGTTCAACTAAATTTTCATTTTTTTATGCTTCTCTTGATTTTTTCCTCTTTTTCCAAATCTGTATTTAATATTTTTCTATAACACATCAATTTGGGTGTACTAGTTTTTATACCCGTTAGTGTAAGAGTTTTTGTTGGTTAAGCTCCAGATTTGGCTTCAGTACTGACTAATCTAATGTATATGCACAAAAAATATTGTATAGCTTCCTATTAAAATATGAACCTAAAAGATAGATTTGTGAGGGGTGTACATGTATATGCTGCACACTGTATAACTTTAACATATTTTTAATTATTCCTGTGATTTATTACTGTGATTCCTATTTAATTTATTCCTGTGATGGCTAAATCGCTTTTTAAAATGTTCAAGTAAATATTACATAATGTAGCTATTTATTAAAAATGTATTTACATTTTTTTATCAATCAAGGGCAACTAAACGCAAAATAATGATTAGTAGTTTATATTATACAAACTAAATGTAACCATTTGGTGTTTGCTTTAAATATAATCATATTTATTTGTTTTCCAGAATGCACCTGAAAGAGTTCTTCCAACTCCTCGTGTTCTACAAAGGTATTTTTATATTTTTTCAATTCAGATGTATGGTTTCCAAATTTCTGTAATGTTTTTAACAGTGTCTCTGGTTGAACGCACAGAAACTGCAGCACTAAAGATCTGACGCAGTTTGCAGCTGAAGCCATCGCGTTTAACCGGCAGCTGTCGCAACAGGAAGAAGAGCAGGAAGACTTTGGCGCTGTCGTCTGCTCCATGAGGCTTTCTCCGCCTTCTAACTCTAGACTTGCCCGTCGTCGAGCACAGTCTCAAGCACTACGCAACAATACCTGAAGTCAACCCGCTGCACAGGTGCATTATAACCGTTCAGACACTTCAGAAACACACAAATGCGCATGCACCAGGTACTACCAGACTAACCTTATGTGTACTAAACCATGCACACGTCTTTAATTCATTTCGCAGGTCTGCTTGGTCGTCTTTCTGTTCACCTATTGTGGGTTTGGTATCAGAATGTTTATAATTATCGTCATATATTTATGGCTGGTGGTGATTGTTAGTCAGATATAAAAAAGTGCTCGGCTATGTGGGAGGGAATAGACCATTTTATTTTAATGTAACGATGACATTCGCATCGCTTTTAAATGTAAGTTAGCGTTTCTATTCTTAAAACAAGTTTTATTATTTTTAAAAACCACTTTAGTTACTGTGAAGCACTGGACCTCTTGCTCTGTCACTTTTTTTACTTTTATTTTTTTACAATATTTAAGCAGTTGTAAGTATTAAATAATTTTTTGCTTTATTTTCGCTATGTACTGTAAAGCCATGCTGCCTGACAGTAACATACCATAGAATTGCGTATTATTATGAGAGGTACGATGAGGTATTATAGATATTTGACTTGTTACTTTTTAGCTTAAACTGTATTTATTGCATAGTATATTTTTGTCATTTCAGATGATTATATATTTCTTTTAATGTATTTTTTTTGCATTATTTTCTTGTCAATGTGAAGTATTTTTTTATGCATGAGGGCAAAGAACATATTCGGTAATGAGATAGATTAAGTTTTAATTTTTTGATTTGCATTCAGTGGAAATTGTGCCATTTTCAGGCTTGGGGGCAGAGCTCCTGATGTGCAAAATAACTAAATTACCTCTCAAAATTGCCTTTTGTATTATCAAATCGAGTTATTTTTCCTGTTATTTGTTGCAGATTGAGCTGAGATGAAATGGTAAGAATTTAGTGATTGTCCATGTATTATTTATTTCTGTACCTTCATGAGAATTTGTTAGTATACATTTCTTGTACCAGGGATGACACTAGAGGGCGCTACCTCATATTAATGCCCATGTTCTCAGCACTCAGCCAGTATGATACTGATGGAGTATCTCAGTCTACGTTCAGGAATGGTGTAAATTGAATGGCCATTTAACCCCTAATAAACTCTGGGACAGATTGTGGGGCAGGGGTGTTCATTTGGTTTTCCAATTTTGAGAAATAAAGCAATTTGCACTGAACCAAGAACATTGAGTCTTTGCTTTCTGGAATTTACTGTATACTGTTATAATCACTTTACATGAGGTGCTAAACATTACAATAGACATTTTACAAGAAATGCAGTGTTACTGATTGCCATTGTGATGATTTTAGGCTGTTAGTAACTGATTGCGTTTAATCTGGATTATGTAGTCACTTTCTAACATTGGATTATGGATTTTTTAAAGATTTCAAATGAAGAGTTGTCTTAAATTTTCTTCAATAATGAGCAGTTTTCTACGACTTCTGTGTGTAAGTTTCATTACTTCACTTTAAATGCGATTAATAGGTTGTTTTCATTGCCTTTAAAGTGAAATAAGTGAACATCTAATTTTAGCACAAGTTTTCAGATGGATTTTCATCTGAACTTTTCAAACTTCTCACATTCATTCATTCATTTTCTTGTCGGCTTAGTCCCTTTATTAATCCCGGGTCGCCACAGCGGAATGAATCGCCAACTTATCCAGCAAGTTTTTACGCAGCGGATGCCCTTCCAGCCGCAACCCATCTCTGGGGGACATCCACACACACATTCACACACTACAGACAATTTAGCCTACCCAATTCACCTGTACCGCATATCTTTGGACTGTAGGGGAAACCGGAGCACCCGGAGGAAACCCACACGAAGGCAGGGAGAACATGCAAACTCCACAAAGAAACGCCAACTGAGTCGATGTTCGACCCAGCGACCTTCTTGCTGTGAGGCGACAGCACTACCTACTGCGCCACTGCCTCGCCTCACTTCTCACATACTGGTCGTAAATGAAAGTTAATTAATAAATTTCTCCCTTTCACTTTTCTTATTTTTATTTAAATCTTGTTTTTCACACTAAGCTTTGACTTCTGACAATATAGAATTGTTAAATGAATTTGAGTAAGAAAAGCACCTCTTGATCAATTAGAGTAGACTCTGTGAAACTTAAGCAAATTATTAAAAATCGTTGCAGGGTTTTTGACAGGTCATAAAATTTCATCATCATGAAATTTTATAACTTATATTCCAGTCATTAAAAGATTTTTTTTTCTCCAAGTCATGTAACATCAGGGATTTTTGTTTCTTGGTCTAAATGTATTCATTATTGTTGCTCAAGATTAAGTTGATTCATGTGTTTTGCCTGTTGTTATGGTTATTTTATTTTTTCAGTTTATTCACGTCTTCTTGCTTTGTATTATGCTATTATTATTATTATTATTTATGTGCATATTTATATTTGCTTTTACTAAAAACAAACTTTTGTCCACCTGTCAGATTTTGGACCATATAGGGCATAGGATGTGTGATTGTATATAACTCTTTTTTTTTTTAGCACACTTCGTTGTTATTATTGTTCATTTATTAGTTTGCTGGAAAAACAAGACTGGTTAATTTGGAGTAGGATAACAGGATTTATGCAGATATTCCGACCTGGTGAATTGAAGCGCAGCTCGAGAACGCCTCCTGCGGCGATGATGAGAACGACTCTTGTGTGAAGCGCTCGGACCACTCACACACCGTCACTCCATCACAACCGCCCAGACCAAAACCATGCGCTGCTGCACCGGCTGAAGTTCAAGAGTGCGAGGTATTCCTATGGAACTGTGCGGGATTCGTTAAAACAAAGGACAACATATTGCCAGCATTTTGAAATTTCATCTTCTGGTGAGTTTAACGTCAAGCGAATTTATTAGCTGGGATTTGTTTATGTGTTCTATTACAAAATAAGCGAGAGTGATGCCGTCCTCAGTTTAATAACCGGTAAAAACTGATTATATCAGCTTGGGCAACCGTCTATCTATCCATCCATCCATCCATCCACCCACCCCTAACAGTTGTACTTTGTAATGTTAACTTTGATGTAAAAATGTGCAAGTTATCTTAAAAATAACATTTTGATTAAGATGTTGAATATAAATCCACCTATATAAGGCAACAGTGTGTCAATTTAGTGAATTGTGATTGTACATATATGTTTATTTAGTGGTATTATGTATAACAGGGGTCACCAACCTTTTTGAAACCGAGAGCTACTTCTTGGGTACCAATCACTGTGAAGGGCTACCAGTTTGATCACTCCCTAAATAACAATTTTTCTCAATTTACTTTTAATTATATGTTGTTATTATTAATGATTAATGATATTCATCTATGTGAAGACACTGATCATGTTAATGATTTCTCACAATAGTTCTCAACAATGATTTAACAAGGTAAGGAACAGAAACATCAATATGTATATATATATACCTTAATGTCATTAACACATTTTACACCAATTCAGGTGTGATTTAAAAAGAATAGCTTAAAAAAATACTAGATACTGGTATGTGGTGCAATGGTGAGCTATTTTTAGAACAGGCCTGTGGGCAACTCATGTAATCCTTGTGGGCTACCTGGTGCCCGTGGGCACCATGTTGGTGACCCCTAGTGTAAAATAATAACAGTAATGTGCCTACACTCACTGTCCACTTTGTTAGGTACACCTTACTAGTACAGCATTGGACCCCCTTTTGCCTTCAGAACTGCCTTAATCATTTGTGGCATAGATTCAACAAGGTTCTGGAAATATTCCTCAGAGATTTTGGTCCATATTGACATGATACTATCACGCAGTACCTGCAGATTTGTCAGCTGCACATTCATGATGCAAATCTCGTGTTCCACCACATCTCAAGGGTGCTCTACTGGACTGAGATCTGGTGACTGTGGAGGCCATTTGAGTACAGGGAGTCATTGTCATGTTCAAGAAACCAGTCTGAGATGAATCATGGTTTATGACATGGCATGTTGTCCTGCTGGAAGTAACCATCAGAACATGGGTACACTGGTTATAAAGGGATGGACAAGGTCAGCAACAATACTCAGGTAGGCTGTGGCGTTGACACAACGCTCAATTGGTAGTAATGGGCTCAAAGTGTGCCAAGAAAATATCCCCCACACTATTACACCACAACCAGCAGCCTAAACCTTTGATACTAAGCAGGATGGATCCATGCTTTCATGTTGTTAACTCCAAATTCTGACCCTACCATCCAAATATCACAGCAGAAATCAAGACTTAACAGATTAGGCAACATTTTTTACTTTTATTGACCCATTTTGATGAGCCTGTGCCAATTGTAGCCTCAGTTTCCTGTTCTTAGCTGACTGGAAAGGCACCAGGTGTGGTCTTCTGTTGCTGTAGCCCACCTACCTCAAGGCTGGACATGTTATGTGTTCAGAGATGCTCTTCTGCATACCTTGGTTGTAACAAGTGCTTATTTGAGTTACTGTTGCCTTTCTATCAGCTTGAACCAGTCTGGCCATTCTCTTCTGACCTCTGGGATCAACAAGGCATTTGCTCCCCCAGAACTGCTGCTCACTGGATATTTTCTCTTTTTCTGACCATTCTCTGTAAACCCAGGAGATGGCTGTATGTGAAATCCCAGTAGATTAGCAGTTTCTAAAATACTCAGACCAGCCCGTCTGGCACAAACAACCATGCCAAATCACTTAAATCACCTTTCTTCCCCATTCAAAATGCTTGATTTGAACTGCAGCAGATTGTCTTGACCATGTCTACATGCCCAAATGCATTGAGTTGCTGCCATGTGATTGGCTGATTAGAAATTTGTTGGACAGGTGTACTTAATAAAGTGGCCGGTGAGTGTTTACTTGTACAAAATATATAACAACATTTTTGTTCAATTTCCTTATGCAAACAAAGCAACTGATTAAACATTTAGGCTACTTATGCAGTTTAATGCAAACTACACAGTGAGTAATAAAGTTATATGGTACTGTAATTTCCTCACAACCAAAGCTTTTACATCAACAGACTCATCTGGTCCTGACAGGCATAATTGAATTGGTTGAGCTCAGAGCTCAGATTTGACGCACAAACAGGCAGGCGGATGTTCATACAGCACATTTGCTATAATACTCATTACTGCTTTTCTCTGTTTTCTCTCTCTCATTTCCCCTTTTATTCAGTGTCCAGGAAGGTCAGCACCATTTAGAGAGGATGCTTTTCTCTAATGCTGATGCTCGCCCTGTATTAAAGTCAGGTGAAGGTAGGGTGCTTCACCATCAGTGGTTGCCCTCACCGGCTCTTTGTTGTGCTTGTGGGCTGTGCATCATGTTGGCAGGCATTAACATCACCCTAGTGGGCGCTCTTACATTCACCAAAGTCCTCCCCTTAAGCAACCCTCCCATCTTCATTGGACCCATCCTCCTTTTGATGGCTTTTTCATTTTTCGTTATGTGTTGCATCTTCAGTCGACGGCACACCAGAAAAACTTCTCGCACGTCTACTAGACGGGACCACTGGCCATTAATGAGGAGGGGTGAAGCCGTTTTTGAGATGGAGACCAGCGAACCCACTCTGCAAGACACCACAGCCATTCAGCTCAGTCCAACAAACTCTCCAAGCTCCTCCCACCGATGTAGCCCCACCCACCCTCCTGTCAGCCATCTCCAGCCTTCAGAAACCTAGGAGAATGATATTAATTGAACTCTGCAGTTCTCATAGGTTCATGCTCCTATTTGAAGAAATGTTGTGTGGAATTAAAGTCTCTGAACAGCAAACATTCACGGTCACACCAAGCTCTAAAAATACAATGTTTCTTAGTATGCATGAGCAGACTTGAAATGGAGCACTTTGAGATCATGGATTATTTGATTGTGGCAGTAATGAATTCAACTTGTGCTATCAGCTCACAGGGTCAGCTTGACCTTTGGAAGAAGTCACTGGTGTTGGGAAAAAAAAAACATAATTTCATCATCTCATCCTCAGAATGGTAAGGAAGGAAAACTAGCTATTACATGAATTTGCAAGCGTTTAACCTAGCTCTTTGGATAAATAAAATCTGCCAAACTGACAGAGTTAAAGTTAGTTTTCAGAAACAGAAAAAGATTTTTTTTTTCTTGAAATGGATTAATTCAGTTCAAGGCTATAGTGAAAAGTAATTTTGTAATAAAAAAAGAGACCCTATTTTGCATCATAAAATGTCATATTTTTGGTTTTAGG